GGAGAGAGGCCTTGGGTTTCTAGCACAAGACTGGAGCCTGGCATCTAATTTAGGAGGAGCTTTTCGGGTAATGACAGCTTTAAGGCTGCTGTCCAGGTTTTCTCAGGCAGCGAAATCTGTCTGCTTGCCTTTGCGGGTTGGAGTCATCTTCAAGAGTTACAGGCTTTTGAAATTGCATCCTGCATTCCAGTCAATTTTCTAAAAGTGAATCTGTTCTTGCTACCTGATAGGTGTTAAAATGGGAAACCTTGGCTCAAGGAAGCCTCAGGTGCCTTGTGAAAATGGAACCTTAAAAGCTATCATTTTCTTCTGGTCCTTAATGATCTCACTGAAAATGTTCCACTTCACATCTGTTTTTAAAGAGAAACTTAGTATTTCTGTAGTTGTCCAAGGTGTATGTAAATAGAGCATACATTTTTCAGCCTTATCAAGCAATGGGTGAGGTGCATCTCCTTGTCCATGCACCTCTCCTGGCCCTGTTGAATGTCACACTTATATCTGACTGAACTGGAGGCAGCTGAAAGGAGCTGAGGAGCCAAGTCTTTGTTTTTCTTCAGAGCTTAGCAATCACAGCTTTCCCACACTTAAGTCAGAAATTTTTACTCTGAACTCTTTGTGATTTTTCTGGAAAGTCTGGAAGTGGGGGGCTGGTGTTGCTGAAGTGCATTTATAGACATGGAAACCATTGGTTTTCTTACACTGTTCTCTGGCACAGAGGGTTGACATAGGTGCTCCATGGATGTAGCAATGGTTGTGACTTACAGCACAGTGATGCTTAAGTTTGCTTTACTGTATGTAATCACCCAGCTCTGAAACACAGCACTAAGTCCCTTGGCTCTTTGTTCTCTGTTTCTTCTTGTTGCCTCCCTGTTTTTTCTGTACACGGGATTGTTCTTTGCAAGTGTATAAAAATAAGATGGTGCTGTCTGCCAAATAACAAACCGACCTTTTCCCCAGGTATGGGACACGGAGGTGACCACGGCCATGGGCACGGCCATGACAAAGTGGAGCTGCCTGACTACAGGCAGTGGAAGGTGGAGGGGACTCCCCTGGAGGAGGTGCAGAGGAGGCTGGCAAAGAGGGGGCTCAGGGACCCTTGGGCTCGGTAAGTGCAAGAGCCTCAAAAATCATCCTGATGTGGCATCTGCTGGCATCAGCCAGAGTTGCCATTGTAGGTAACTCCTTCTTCAGTAAAAGCTGTGAAAATTATCAGCATTTCAGTAAAGTCTGAAGGGGATTGAGCCAATCATATGAAGGTTCAAATAAAGAAAAAAGCATGTGATGATTCCTTCTGAATTTCTTAAATTTCATGTAAAGTCATATGTCAATTCTATAGGACAGTACAAGCATCATGCCAATTTTCCTTAACAAGTGAGAAATTAAGGTATCATGCTACTTGCTCCAGTAGTCTGGCAGGAGATTGTATTATTAAAGACTTGCACCACAAATCTTCAAAGTCACCCTCTCCAGAGCTCCCTCTCCTTTGGTGTGCCAAGTTCATTTTAACAGGGAATCTGCTTTCAACCTTTATGGAATGCACGTTAATGTACATATTAAATACAAGATAAGCTTTGTGAAAGATGTCATATTTGGAAACTTTATATCAATTAGGCCCTATACTGGCACCTAGGAGCTATTCTTCCATGCCAGTGTGCTTTCATCCTGAGTCACAAAATCCATCTGCACAAAAGGATTATCTGTGAACATAAATGTCTGCCCCCCTTGGTTTAAAGCCTGGTATTTTCTCCCCAAATTACAGTTTTTATTTTATTGCTTAGTTATTTTTCCTTTTCTTAAGGACTTTTGAGTCCTTGCAAGAGACAAATTACACCCATGTCCATAGATTACACTGGTTGTGCTATAAATAAATAAATATTTGTAGTCAGAGCAGTGATTAATGTTTCAATAATAATGGAGGTCAAAAACAGCAAGGCAAAATGGTGAAGTTTGCACATACTCTGTAGCTCAAGCTAAACACCATCTTTTAAGTCTTTCTTGTTGAAATCATCTTACTCTCATGTAGCTGTGTTGTATTGTGAAACAGAAAGCGCCTCCACACTGAGATGAGCTATCTGTGGATTGTAAGATTTCATTGTGCTGCATCCTGTCTAGCACAGTGACTAGCCTTTGTACTTAGTCCAATCCATGTTAGTGCTAGTGGGCTCTGATTTGGTACAGACTAAAAACAGAAGAGTACAATTACATGATTTTGAGGAGGTGATTCTGTTCCTATAATTGTGTTGTTTGCTGGCAGTACTTGTATCTCAAGTTATATGGTAAGGGTTAGAGTTCCTGTCACGAACTTTACTTGTAATTCCTGATACTTAAATGACAGAACATATTGTACAGCCTCAATGTCTATCTAATTCAAATACCTTCATCATTCTTTAGTATATTTATATTCTTGTTAATCTGTATCACAGTGGCTCCCCTGATCTTTTTTTCCTTTGGTTTCATTTTCCTTTCTAGTAATGAAGCGTGGAGGTACCAGGGTGGCTTTGCAAGACCTATCACCGTAACAGAAATCTTTACCAGGGGATTCAAGTGGGGAGCTGCAGCTTTCGTCATAGCTCTGGCCATTGAATATTCACTGTTTCCTCCAAAGAAGAATGGAGGCCACCACTGAAGATCAAATATGACAACTTAATACTTACAAATCATAAGCTGAAGCATACATAAGCCTGCTGCTCACTCTGTACTTATAATATGCATATTAAAGTCTATCACAGGCAAACCAGTGTTTCTTTGATCTTATTATACTCCTGTAGAAGGATCAAAAACCATGGCCAGAGCAATTTAACTAGCTTCGATCTGGGGGGAAAAAAACACCCCAGGATGGCTCTTGGGTTTGCTCTACTGTCCTTTAAAGAGCAAGATAAACTATCACACCAGCTCTTTCCAAGCCCTGCCTTGATTCTGTTAAATGAAATTGAGAAGTTGGTTTTAAGAGAAAATTTGTACCATATTTATTACAGGTTTAATAACTATTATTTCCCAGTAAGTAGTAATGAATGGCTTGTAATTTCTTAGAAGTGTTGGTTACTATTTGCTCTTATGTCTCCAAATAAAAATAAATATTAACTTAAAGCTTTAAAACCAACTCCAGACTGTCTTCAAGTATATGAAAGTACCAAAGCTTATACTTAGCTCTCTTGAACAATTAGCCTGGCAGACACGATGCACCAGAATAATCTGCTGTGTAATATCCAGACATCAAAAATTACATTGCTGCCAAAAGTAGAATAAAATAAACGTTTAATTCAGCAATATCTGTACCTTACCCTAAAACGTCTTCCACCATACTTGACTGTAATGTTAAAAACGAGAACAAATTTTTCCTTTGCTCTGGTGTATTTATAGATTTATTTATTTCACATCTAGTCTCTTTTAGCAATTTATTTTAAATGTCCTGGTTTTCTGTAAATTATCTTAACAGCTTCTGGACTGCTTTAAGAATACCTGGACTGAATATTAAAGCAGAAAAGGACCTGTGGGCAGTATATGTCCTCTGCAGTACCAGAAATTATAATTGTCTGAATATCCTACCGTAAATTTTGTTATGTTATGCCAGTAGTAACTAAGGAGGCTATGTTACATAGCACAAACAGCAAGACACCCATCACTAAAATGAAAAGCAAAATTAGACAAGTGAGAAGTGGTAAATGGCACTAAATAATTACATAGTATACTTCCATGGTGAAGAAATTGAAGTTTTTAAACAATCCTGTCACAAACTGCAAGTTTACAAAACAGTTGAAGGTTCTACCAAAACATGGCTAAAATCTCTTTTTTTAAAACATACATATTCACACGCAATCCTTCTGAGTGAGATTATAATATAACTTTATTTTTAGAGCCAATAAACAACATCTGCTACTGTGTGAGTGCAGATGTACAGTTCAGTGGAGTTTGTCATCTTTGTATGACATTGCTCAAGGCACTGTTGATAGTGCAAACAATCATTTTAGTAAACTCTCGCCTAATTTGTTTCTCAAACATTCCTATCCAGTTGCATCATTCCCTGGAAAACCAAGAACCTACTGTGTAAGATCTGTTGCACAAAACATTTCTATTGTTCCTTAGGTACTCTTACCCAGAATATGCATGTTCAATGGCTGGTACTCACTGCTTGTTTTCTATCTGGCTCCAAGACAACTTTCTAGGGAGTACTGAATTTCAGATGTCTGTTCAGGAAAATAAGTAACAGAGTTAAGTACTACAAGGTTAATAATTTGTACTGATTTGTTACTAAAGTTAATAATTACATGAAGTAGAATGAGTCTTTTCAAATGGTATAAGCCTGCCACTTCACTGATACAGCAAACATGTCAAGCATATTCAATTAGACAATACTAGTTTTGGTAAAATTTACGCATTTGTGAATTAAAGTGGTATCATTTGATGGTTTAATAGCCAGATGGCAGCCACCGCCTTAAATGACTGTCTTTAATTTATGATGAACATATTTTGCTAATTTTGCAAAATACGTCTCACCATTATTACACATACAATACTCATAAATATTTTATTTCACAGGTATAATAATACCAATCCTGCCTGGGGATGGAATATTTCTTGTGTATTAAAATAATAGTACCACATGTGTCTTCACTGTAACCATAGCAATGTCTGTCCTTATATGAGAACAGCCTTTCTACCAGCATAGATATTTTACAGTGCAAAAACCAGGGTCACAAACAGCAGTGGCACCAGCAGGTGAAGAATATACATTATTGTAATACCAGACAGGAAACTCTTTTTGAATCACAAAGTCTGAAAAATAAAAATGATGCTCAACTCTTTGTGTGGAACAGATCAAAGGAGAAATTGTGCATATTGATTCACAGTAGGTAGCTGGTTTCCTTCTGAATCAGCTACATCTTAATAGCAGGGATACTGTGATAGCCCTGAATGATTGATATTACAGTGAGAGCCTGACCATACAATTTCAGTAAGAATACATGCATTTTTTCAGAACATATAGCTGCCACTTGGTACAAATTCTAGTGTGGGTGAATATTTTCTGTCTCCTTTTTCCCTGCAGTTCCAACGACAGCGTGACTCTTCATGTGTGCTACCCCAGCGTACTGCGCTTCCACTGCTCTATTTTTAGCAGCACAGAAAAATGACTCACTGTTTCATAAAGGCTTTGAAATCCACTGAGCTGGGAGTTATATGTGTCTGATTTCACCATATAGGAAGGTGGCTTTTGTCTGGTTCAGAAAATTTTAGATTTTAGGCCTTTTGGAGAGCAGCTCCAGCTGCAATGCTAGCATCCCGCAGTAAACGGCTTAATGAAAGTTGCTAGTTTATGCCAAGGGAATAGCAACATCCAGTTTTCAGGAACAAGGCGTTACACAATATTTACTTAAGATTATACAACAGGAAGCATACAACTTTCACACAGCTGTACGTTAGCCTCACTGTGAACGAACAAATTCAGAGTGAGTCACGAGCCATACGAGGGGTTACGGCTAAACTCCTGTCAAAACACGTGCCCGCACTGACCGCAGGCCTGTAACCGCTCACCGAAAACCCTGCTACGACTTCATAGCTCGCAGGGCCACCACAGAGCCGGTCTGCGTGTCCCCACAGACAAACACACAGGACACAAACACCGCTCCGAACCTGTGCACCCGCCGAACCCGGCACCGCGCCGCCGCCACGGCCTCCCCCCGCAGCGCTGCCCCGGCCGCCGTGTCCGTGCCAGGGGGAGGTACCGGGAGGCGCCGCAGGCCCCGTCCCGCCTCCATCGGCCGTCGCTCGGTTTTGTTTGTTTGACTCTGGGGTACAGCAGGAAACAAAACTAAAACCAACATCCTGCCTCTCCCCATCCCCCCCTGGCCCGGCGCTGGCCAGGGGGCCGGTACGGCCTCAGCTCCTCCCTGCTCCAAATGGCGGACCTGGCTGCTGTAGAGACTTCCCCGACTCGTCTGGGTGCGTTCTACCTTCCCCCGCTCCTTTCCCCCCTCCTTCCCTCGCACTTCCCTTCCCGCCGTACGCTCTGAGCACAGGCGGCCCAGCGCCGGAGCGGCCGCTGCGAGCGGGGCCCGGGCTCGGTCTGGGCTCGTGGTGAGAACCGAAACCGAATGTGATTTTAAATGACGCTCTTAGAAAAATTACTGGAAATCTGCATAAATCACGTTTAGTAGTTGGGGATTTTTGATTGGTTTTGCGTTTTTGGGGTTTGGGGTTTTTTTGTTCTGTTTTAATTAGGAGGACTGGGACCTTAAAACAAATTAGCGTGGTAAGGAATGTGGTGATCCCCGCAGCGATTCCCTGTTTTTTCCTGAGTACGTTGCGCAAGTTCTGTTGAAGGCCGTAGGGCAGTGAGGCAATAGGGGAATTTAAAAGGTGTGGAGCATGCTCTGCGACTTTGAAAAATGCCAGATGAGCCTCCTCCAAGTGCAGCCGTTCCAGCAGCGCAGCCAAGGCAGAGCGGAGGAATCACGGAGCGCAGCCCGACCCCCCCGGCCAGGTCATCTCTGTTCTCCCCTTCCAGCACGGCTCTTCCGGCCGAGCTCGTCTTGGGAAGAAAGAGCGTTTCCTAAATCAGAACGACACCCACTGGAGTCATATCCTGGTTTTGTTGCTGCAAAGATGACTGTGAAAGGTTCAAGATGAAAAATGCTAGCAAGGAGTTAACTGGAGCCTTGTGCATCTTCGTGTGAAATTTTAGTGTGTTATTTCCTGCTCCTTTGCTAAGGTGTTAAAAAAAAAAAAAAAAGCCTAAGTAGACATGCACATGAACACAAAAATTATTGAGGCAACTTTATCTCTGATGACTAAGAACTTTTTTATTTTGTCTTATAAAAGATAGGCTGATTTTTCTCTCTTCTTTGTATAGAATTTATATTCAGTAAGTCATCTTGTTGCAGAGCCCAGATAATCAAAAGTTAGGCTGCTGGGTGTATGGTGTGGTTGCTTTTTTCTTTAACTTTTGCATCTATAATGACTGTATCTGTTATATTTGAAAAGGGGTCATCAGATGGAAGACTGGAGCATTATGCCCTTTATCTCTTATGGCGGAGTGGATTGGCAAAGTTACAAACTGTTTTAGTTTGTACTAAAAGTTCACTTCCTGTTGCTTTTACTCATTCCCCGCACAGTACCCAATGAATGTTATCTGCACAGCTGGTTTTCCTTTATTTAGAGCACAATTCCTGTTCACTGCAGTCATACAGGAGAATGACTGACCCTTGTCATTTTCTTTGGTTTTCCCACCCCATAAAATTAGGAAGTAGCCCCCATAGTAATTTGTGATCTTGACATTTGTCCAGCAGAGAATGAGTTAATGTAGTCACTGGAAAATTCTGGATGGAAACCAATGTGTTCTGGATCAGTGGTTTGGCAATGGCCAAATGCCAGTTTTCCCGTGTTCTTGTGAACAGTTTTACATACAGGTAAGATAATTTCAAGACTGAGTAGAATCAACATTTTTTATAATGAGCATGTAATGTACCATATATAAAGGAAATTCACGAGAGAAGAGGATTCATATGTGTGTTGCAAAGGCAAATTATTTTAAAGTTAATATATAAATAGTAATTCTGCATGTTTGAAATTCCAACTCGGTGGGAAATTCCCCAATAAAACACACCCTTCCTGTGGTTTTTTTTAGCTGGTTTTAAAAGATTAGATAAAAATCAACTGGGGTAGTTAAGTTTTTCTGGTATTTCCAAAAATGACCAAAAGATGTTAAATTCCAGTTTCACTTTAGAGTTAAACTATTACTTCAAGGTCTTTTGAAAGTCCCAGCTAAATGTACCTGGGAGATGCTTTCATATGAAGGTGCTTTGTGCCTCACCCTTCTTGACTGCATTATGTCATGAAAACAATGTCATTCTATAGAGTTCTCACAAGTGTTTGATGCTAGACTAAAAATAAGTTAGCAATAAATATGCTTTTCTTCTGGTAGAAAACTTTCCAAAACACATTACGGTACATGAGGGGTTCCTCTGTTTTAGATTAATTTATCCCCCCTGCTTAATTATGGACACAATATGTGACATTTTTGATTGTAACTTCTAGAATGTGTAGCAAAAGGATGAAAATGCTGTAAAAAAAATCTAATTCAGGTGCTAGAATCTTTTGGTATGTTAGGCTTTGAAGTTGCATTGGCATTTGCTTTCCACTATGGTGTAAATAAAACTCTGCAGTATAGTGATCAAATTCTGTGGAAGGAGTAAGATTTGTCTTTAGGTTTGCTCATCTGCCACTTCTCCGTATATGTAATGGAGGTCAGAGGAGGTTAGATAGAATTTCCATAGTTGGTGGCAGTGGAAATTGAGCACAGCACCCTCCTGATTTTGTTAATCACGAGGCTGGGGGTTTTTCTAAGTTTGAATTTTTGTTCCAGTTTTCAGCATGGTGGTACATGAATGTTTAGTGAAGAAAAGATGATCTATGGCTTATCTATACCTTCAGAATGAACCAATTTGCATATTTAAAGTTGGAGTATTTTCTTTGAGTGGGTTTTCAATCTTTTTGAGCATGGAGGGTGTATGTGGAAAATCCTTTTAACTCCAGATTAGAATAAATTTAAATTATGTTAATAATAAGAAAATACACACACTCTTGAATTTACAGATAATTAGTGGTTTTAAAATTACATGTTATATTGTTGCTGGGAAAAGGGCAGATTTTGGAAATACTTGATCTACCACTCATCAGCAAGCTGATGACTTGTTTCACTTCCTATGGAATATACAGACTCGTGGTAACGTCATTTACTCTAAAAAGAATTTACATGTCTTTCTGATTAGTATGACCTTCCAAATACTTTTAGTTTTCTAATGAACAACTGGGAGATTCCCTTGAATAAAGGAGGTCTGAGTAGTGTATGTTGGAGTGTTAGTTGAAAGTTAAATGCTTCAGATAGGAGAGTTAACTGTGGACTTGTGCAGCAGATCACTGATTTATTGCCTTTTAATTCTCTCCCACAGAACTGTCCTAGAAATGCACCTAGATAAGAATGAACAGAAGAGAAGTACTGTGGTAGACACAGGCTTTGTGTCATGCTGGTTTCCAGTTTAAAAACCAGTAGGCTGGCAATTTTAAAGGAACAGCAGCAAAGTGATGACCAGGTGCCAAGTGCCAGCTTTCCTTATTCATCAGATTCAAGAAGAACTGGGTAAAGAAGAAGAAGAGATGATGGTTTTCCTGTGCCGAGACCTTGCTCCTGACTTGGCCAATGCTGATCTGAAAGAGATCCTGCTGGCTTTGAATGAGAGAGAGAAACTGACTCCTGTTGGCTTATCTGAGCTGTTGTACAGAGTTAAGAGGTTTGACTTGCTGAGGAGGATCCTGAACACTGAGAAGGCAACAGTGGAAGCTCACCTTGCCAGGAGTTTCAGACTTATCCCTGATTACAGGTAATATATCTATTTCAGATTTCAAAGCTACACTGTCTTGTTCAAAATATGTAGTTTGGTTTTGGTTTTTTTCCTTTGTTTGGAGGGGTGGGAGCTGTATGGGTGAGTTGTTTTTAAAATTTTTTAAATTTTGTTTAATACTTCTCAGATTCAGAGAATATTTATTGAAGGTAGAAGAAAAGCAGAAAAGGACATTATATCTAGAGTTGTAGTTCAAAGAAAATATCAAGTTTAGTCCCTGAATTAAACTTCAGTAGTTTCTCACTGGTCATGGCATTAGAAGCATCTGTATTTAAGGAGTTTGTGTGTTTGTGAATATAAACAGTGATGTTTGTAGAGTTCTAGATTAGCAGCTAAAAATGACACTTTAAAAGAATATCATTGGTTACACATATTTTCTTTTCTGGTTTGCTTTGGGGACATAGCCACGTGGTATAACTTTTCTCAAGGGACTTCTCTCTTACTTGTTTTACTCTATTAGTTTTGAGAAGCTTAAATTAAGAAATTCCAGTTATTTTCTTTGAGAGACTTCAGAAAGAAATCCATATACTCATAAGGAAGATTTTCCTGTATTAAATTCTCACTATAATAAAAATAATGTAACTAAGAGGTAAAAAAGTTAAGGATGTGTTCTGTTGTCTCATTCTCTCACTTAATCTCTGTCAAACATTAAAGAAACTTCTGTTTTCCTAACAGTAGCTATTACACTGTCAGTCTGAAAAACACAGGTGATGGTTAGCAAGAGTATTTTATAATTGGATCTTGAAACAGGGTACATTTTTTACCTGTTTCTTAGTTAGAAATCCTAGATTGAGACTGGAACATCGGGAGAAGTTGAGTAGTAGGGAAAGGGAGGAATCCTGCTGCAAGCTAATGATTTAGAAATGTCTCAACTTTATTTCAGGGTACTAATGGTAGAGATAAATGAAAATCTGGAGAAAGATGAAGTGGGTTCTCTTGGTTTTCTACTCAGAGATTATGCACCTCGTATGAAAATGGCAAAAGATAAGGTATGTTTTCCTTAATTCTGGCATTCTCCTCTGCAGCAAAGAGACTTCAAGTAAAAAAATATGTAGCTAGACAGCAAAGGAAAGGAGTCAGTACTGCAAGGAGTATTGAGGCAGGAGTACACAAACATCATGAAGCAGACAAGGAGTTGTGGCTTGTGTTTCATTTTGTTGATTTTTAATTCAAGGAAAAAGAAGCATGGAAAACTAGTAAAAAAGTAGGAGGGAACAATGCTTGTTATAGTGTACGGTGGTTGAATGTACTTCATGGGCAGGCATTTTACAGAAGTCTTTCTTCAGTATTTCTGACCTGAAAGTTTATGTAAGAATGATCTCGAACCAATAACCATTTGAATTCTGTCTTGAATTACAAAGTCACTTTTTGTTTGTGCTCTGCTTCACTTGCAAAAGAACACATATATTGTAATTACGTCTTTATAGCTTTGCATTCTGAATATTTTTGTTAAGTCCTCTGAGAAAGCAGAAATTCAGTAGAGAGGACTCAGAAACCTTGACCACTGTGCAGAGAAGACTGAAGATTTCTGTCTTCCTCCTTTGAGGGTTTTTTCCTTTTCTGTCTTCAGTCAGAGAAGGAGAGAGGTCCTGAAAATTTCCCAAAGCTTTTCTTGCCTCTTGCTTTGTGGCATGTGAGTGGCATTCACATTGGCTGGCTTTGTAGCAAAAACAAAATGCAAAACTGTTTCCTCAAAAATTTAAGATTGATTTTTAAGAATATCACTTTGTAGTTTCTATTACTCCTGTAATAATATCAAGGATTCATATGTCTCTCAGATAATTTTCTTAGAAAGTGTAACATCTCTAATTGTTTATACAGCCTTTATGACCTCTCCATGGTATTTTCTGTGTTGCTTTGTTACATCTGGTGGAGAAAAAAATACTGATGTGTTTGGGTTTATGTTGCTATTCTAGAGTTTTCTAGCTCTTATAATTGACCTAGAGAAGCTAAATTTGGTGGCTCCTAATCAGCTGGATCTGATAGAAAACTGTTTTCGAAGTATTCACAGGATAGACTTGATTAGGAAGATTCAGACGTACAAACGCAAAGGTAGGATGCTCTTTTTGCACTGGTTACTCTTGATAGCAACAATCAGATGTGCTGAAGATAAAACTATGACTTACAAATAAGGGCATTTGCATTCTTCATAGATTTAGGTTTTCAAAACAGTTGAAATATCATGGTGTATTTGTGTTTCTGTTAAATTTGCAGCTTCAATGTCCTCCGTTCATTGTCAGCCAGTTTATGTAAATGCTCATCCAGCCTCTGTCCCTAATTTCAATCTGATTGAGCCTCCTTATCATTCAGGGGTAAGTATGCAAAAAGTGAAACAAATCCTTTGCTTCTAAATATTGCCAGACTTTAAAAGGAGATCCATCTTTCAGAGCCTGAGGAATTAAAGATGGCTTGTGACTAAAATATTGCTTTATTTCCTTCTGTTGTTCCTGTTATTTACTGAGTTTAGGATCTGATTAAAATCTGCCTGAGAAAGATGCCATTTAAAGGACTTCTGTGAATTTATTCCTATTAGTTGAACATATAAAATCTGTATCTTGAAAGTTTTTTTGTATTACACTTTGGAGGGTGAAGTTTTGCTTTGACTGTTCTTTGCAAAACATATTCTTCTTCTTTGTACCTTTCCACCTTTCCAGGAAAGTAAAGCTGAAAATGATAGGTTTCTTAAAAAGAGTTTTTCAGGGGGTTTTTTTGTGGTTTGTTTTAAACTCAGTTTAAGAAGATATCTTAGTATCTGAAAAGTCATCAAATCCTATTGCATGCAGTATTCTTTATATTTGAGTTAGCTCTGATATTGTATTAGTATGACCTTTCTTGAAGTCTTTAACCTTGCTAAATATGATGATATTCATTGTCATGTGTTCAGTAAACATGCAGTTCCCTGCTGCTGTATAGGAAACAAAGTTCACATCTTCAGAGGCTTTTCCTTGCTGTTGATGGCAAGCTGGTGCTTTTTTTTTTTTTTTTTTTGGAGGAGGAGGAGGAGGAACAGTTGGGTGTTTATTTTATTTATCTGTGCTCTGGATAGGTTTTTTCATCTGTTATGTTGTAATTCTATTTAGCTGATAGTAATTAATCCAAAATATCATTTTACCGAGGAAGAAGTACTGCTGTGTTTTACTTTGGAACACGTTTATTAATTCTTGAAGGAGAACAGGAAAATTATGCCTTTTTCTTAATTTCAGATTCAGAATGAGAGCATGAAAAAATTACAAAATGGATCAAGTCTTACTCTGGGTAAGAGCATTTTATCTAAAAGAGCCAAATGATGAATTTCATTACATCAAAAGGATTGCTATTTGATAATTGTGTTCATGGCTAATCCTGTTAATAACATCAGGAGCAGACAATATTTGATATCTCTCAGAATTGAGCCTGGCCTTACTATTTGGTCTTGTATTTGCTTTGCTTGCACTGCCACATCTTAAAGCATTCTTAAAAATTGTAAGCTTCCACTGTCAAAACTTCTTAACAGAATAAATATTTTATTAGTAAAACCATGGATAAAATTGGCTAGCCAGCTCTGGAGCCTGTGTAGTGCAGTTCTGCCCATTAACTCTGGAGAAGGAAGGTTTTGTGTCAGTTCAGCAGTGAACTGCCCACCAGGCCAGCCACAAGTTGTGCATTGAATACCAGGTTCTTTCCCTGTATAATTTCTTTTCTCTGGAAACCTCAAATACCTCTCAAATATGGTGATTTTTAAAATTAGTTGAGTGAATTCTTTCAGTGTAGAAGAGATTCATTGTTTCTTCTAGTCCCAAGCAATGCAGAATGAAATCCAGCTAACGTTTTAGAGGTGAATAATTTAGGGATTTTTAAACTTCAGTGGCATACATAAAAACTAAGCAGTCCCAATGGGTGAGAACTTTGCTGAAGTAGATACATTCTTCTTTATAATTGATCTGTTGATTAAAAGAGATCACTGGCATTTGCATACTGAGATTGCTTCTGTATGTTTTAGCTGCAGCAGAACCGCTTCACTTGTCCATTGAGGAGTCAGGATCAGTGCCGCATAAGGTATATTCTTATGTATATGTATGCATGTAAATAAATACAATATCCGTGAATATTTTCCTTAGGTTTTTTTTTGTGTTTCATTTTGATATTGAGTTGTGTTCAGACAGAACAATGGGTACATCCTCAGCCATAAACAGGTTCTGTGAATTGTTTTTGGAGAATATATTTGAAATATAAAATATTTGCTGCTACTCTGGAAGCAGCAGTGTGCAAAATACATGTATCTATGATGTGCACACAGAAATCAGACATTTGTTAGTGGAGACACTAACAAATCAAAACCTGTTGAAGTTCAGACCTCTTGGCACATGCATTAGAAATCACAGAGCTTCTTTGCATGCAGTAGATTTTGTTCTTGATTCCTTCCTCACCCCTTGCTTTCGAGGCAGAAGACAGACATGCTTTGGGGATTTATGATAAGGATGGCCAACTGCTGTTTGCACTAGTTCTCCTATAGGCCATGAACCAACCTGTAGCAAATTGATTTGCTTCAATCAGTTCTCTTCAGAGTGGAGAGGAATTGTGATAGAGTCATTATGGATGACTTAGGAATAAGGAGGTTGTTCAAATAAATAAGGAAATAAATTTTCTGATGAACAGTGCTTGCTTGCACACCTGTGGAATACAAAATTTCTCCACATTTATTGTGTTGGCAGTATGAAGCTTGTACAGTTTTAGTCTCTGTTTAAGAATCTTTATGGTAGTGAGATTATATAAGTATATAGTACAAGTACACAAGTACACAAAAACTAAGCTTGTACAGAAATAGAGGGAAAAGAATCATTAGTCCCTTTCTCCTGTGTTTTTGTTACATAGATAAGACACATTACAACCCAGTAGACAGATTTCTGCTAGCTAATTGGTGGAAAACAACAGAATGTTATTTAATATATCTAAAACATAAGATTTGAAAAAATAATATGGTCTAAAAGTTGAGAAAGTGATGTATTAACTTTGTAATTGTCCTTTCACATTTCTCAGATGTCTGATGATTCCTACAGAATGCAAAGTCAACCTTTAGGAATATGCCTGATAATAGATTGTATTGGCAATGACACTGGTAAGTCTCTGGAATTTTAAGTCTCTTAACTTGTTATTCTCAGATCATTAGAAGAATTTAGTTTAAAAAATATAATGTACATTTACCAGCCAGATTAGGGTAGTGTTGTCCCAGTAATTTAATCTACCAATTCTAGTAAGGGTTCAAAGTGTTGGAAGGGACAGCAGCAGGTTAAAGCCAACTGTCCTAATTATTGGAGAAAATGTTTGGTTTTTTTGGTGCAGAATCTCTGAATGAAGGAGCTTGGAAGAGGATAGACTGAATTTTGGGATGGGCAAAAAAGATATTCAGCAACCAACAGAAAAATTAGGCTTACAGCAGTCATACAGTCATACAGCAGGTTATTGGCAGAAGTGGTAGTGTTTCCCACCAGCTAACAAAACCAAAACTGTTGTGGATTTGAAGTGCAGTCATATTGGACACCAGAGATTCTCAATAGCCATGAGGTCCTTTGTTAATGATTCACGTGGGCTTCTGTCCTGTCTTGCACAGTTTAGCTGAAAATGTCACCACAGTGAAACTGAAAGTGTCACCTCTGCTGGCAGTGTAGTCACTGCCATGGTTGAAATGTGGGCGTTTCCCAATTGCCTTTGTAGAATCCTGGAATTAGATCTTTGCACAGTCAAAAACACCCCTCACTCTCTAAGCACTGTAACACATGAGGCTAAAAATAAAAATGAAGAGAGTATTTGCAGCCAGTTCTGTAATAGGCTGGGAGATGTAGGGAAGGAGAGGCTTTCCAGGCATGTCTTTCGGTTTTCTGAAATGTAATGGTCCAGCAGATGAACTAACTTAGAATTGCTGATGTAGTTGAAGGGCAGTGCTTGTGGAGCTCACACACAGAAAGTCTGTATCTCAGATATATAAAGTCACATTGCCAGCATTTAACAGGATAGAAGGCAAGACTTGCACTGAAGTACATTATGGTGCTAGTGGGATTCAGAGGAGATAGGGCATTTGGCATTGCTTAAAGGAGTTTGCTAGAAAGGCAGAAATAGTTGTGCCACAGTATTCTGATGTCTGAGTACACTGAAGAAAAAGAAGAGGGCAGGGAAAACATTAGAAATGGTATCTATGGCATGCATTAGAATCTGTAGCTGTCCCAAGATTTAATCTCAGGAAGAGGAGCCAGTAATAGATACTGTAGGATCAAGAATTACAACACTTTATAATGCCCAGTGTAAACAGCATGACTTTATCAAATGCTGATAAAATTCAAACAGAAATGCACCTTGCTGTTTTGTAAATAGCTGCTTTTGACTTTTCCATTTGGAAATCAGTTTTAATCCTTACATTGTATAAACAATGAGGGGAGAAAAGGCTAGTGTTTTATGTAGAATGGAGATGCTGAAAAATCAATGGAGTTTGTTGGCAGATGGCTAGTGTTGAAGAAATAGGTAGTTTCTGATCTCAGGCTGCAGCATGTAATTCTTTTCCTACCAGAAGCTGTGCATGGGCAATGTGTATGTGCTTTATACTAAAGATCCAATGCTGTAAGTCACAGTAGCAGCTCGTGGTTATCTGAACACTTAATACCTGTGGTTTTAACCACTATGTATCTGGTTTCAGTCCCATGTTAAGAAACATCCAAAGTAGTTATTCAGATCTTAGCACATTTTCCTGCAGCACAGGTTAACACAAATACAGTAAGAGTTAAGTCTTGTGGTTTGGCTACCTATAGTTTTAATTTCTAATTTGATTGAAAGAGTTCATTATTCAGCTTTTTTTTTTTTTGCCTGAGAATGCCATTCTGTCCTAGTTAAGACTCCAGTGTCCACTCTTCACCTGGAGCTCATCACTTAAATTTTTAGGAAGCAAAAATGACTGCAGCAGGTTCATTTTTGACTGATGAAAGAGAACCACTGTGTTTCTTATGCAGTTCTGTGTATCTATAATAGACATTCAGAGTAATTGAGACCAATTCAAAGGTGGAGCAGACTTCCTATGCTGTCCAGATCACTCTTCATAATTTCAAGTGTGGTTTTTCTTGCCTTATATTTTAAGTCTTAGGAATCTGGAATACTAGCTCTAAAGGAAAATATTTAAGTGTCTGTGGAATGTGAACAGATACAGTGTCTCTGCTGTCACGAAACATGTAACTCACAGGAAAGACAACATGCATGTAGCACTCTAAGTATGCAATGTACTGTGATCAACACCAAGTACTCCTGATTTTTTAATTATTGTGCTAAAATAAACTACTTAGTTTCAATAGAAAAACACTAAGTACTGTAATTCAATATAGATGAGATTGAGCCTTGGTGTGCCTTGGTTTAATTACTTCTTGCTTCTTTCAGATGTGTTGGAAGAGACCTTCAGAGGCTTAGGCTATGAAGTTCATTGTCACAGATATTTAAATATGAGCTCCATGAATCAAACATTGCTTGAAGTTGCAAGGTGGCAGAAGCACAAAACTTGTGACAGCTTTGTTTGCATATTGGTCAGCCGTGGAAACTCTCAGAGCATCTTCTGTACAGACCACACCTTTTCTGGATTCCCTTTGGAACAAATAAAGAAATACTTTACAGCAGACTCATGTCCTGGACTCCTAGGAAAACCAAAGCTTTTTTTTATTCAGAGCTATGTTGTGCCAGAAAATGAGCAAGAATGTACCTGTCTGTTGGAAGTTGATGGCAATGCTGATAATATCAGAGCTAAAGTCACTATTCCCCATACAGCTGACATCTTTTGGAGTCATTGCAAGGTGGATGTGTCTACACTAGAACAATCCCCAACTGCACCCTCAAAATATCTACGCTGTCTGGCTGAGCTACTCCGTAATCCTTATAAAAGGTAAATTAAAGGAAGAGGAAAGAAATAACCCTTTTTCTATTATAGCTTATTGTCATGGAGAATAAGAAACCTTAAATTTCAAACCATCTGGTCCTGAAATGTGTTTTCTTGCAGTGTCACAGTCTAAAAGACAAGTATCCTCACACAATTGCATAGAAAGGTAGCCTAAACCAGGAGTGAAGTTTCTGATGTTACAGTGTAAAGTTAAAGTGTGTTATGGCATTGGGGTTTGCAGAGTGAGAAGGGAAGAACCTGTCCTGGACAATGTATGTCAGTGCATTAGACAGGATTGGAAATCTTCCTTCTGCAAGATAAACAGGCTTCTGTTAAACTGAGGATTGCCATGTACCATTAAGACAAGCTGTGCTTGCAAATATAAACAGTCAGTGCTACTTAAGGATATCAGGACAAAGGCAATAGAGAGGGAAGGATTTTCTACTTTCTCTAAATTTAATTAACCCTTTATTCACAGAGCAAAGTGATTTCCAATATGTAATCTTGAACTTAAACTATCAGAAAACTTTTGTCTGTTTAAAGAGATCAAAAGGAATCTGTGGAAAAGGCAGATACATTTGGATATATAACTTACCAACACAGGCTTTATTTATACAGCTGATCTACCAGGGAACTAACTGTTATTCAAGGTAGTTGCAGTGCTAGCATTTAGTACCTTTTTACAAGCCCTAAAGCCTTGTCCTGAAATCACAGATCATCATGTCAGCGTAATCAATATCACAGCAATGATTTGTCTCAAAATGCATGTGCAGCCTTGTGTGTTAGAGGTCTTGCCTCTGCAGTAGAGACTGAAATTGCAAACTTTCTCCATGCTGAGTCTGAACTTATTTTCTCTCTTGTGAATTCTTAAATGGTGTCTTGCTTCATTCTCTAATGGGATGCTTTTGATTCTTTTGCTGCAGGAAACTCTGTATATTGGCTATCCATATGGAACTTAACAAAAAAGTTTATGATGGGAATATGACCACTGACCCAAGCCAACAGTACTCACTGCTGCTCCAGCACACACTGAGAAAGAGACTTTTTTTCCCACTTGATTGCTGTTAAAAAGTACATATCTGAAGTTTCTAACAAGAAGCATTTGCTATGATGCAAAGTTTAATGCATACTTCTATTTATACATTGTTATTTCATGTATATCCAAAGTGCCTGTTGCTTCCAAACAAAGGAATTTACAAGCATTTTAGTGTGCTAAGACACTAGATTTTGTATTTTAATGTCATAGTCTCTGAAATCTTGGATGAGAATGGTAACTATTGTATAGCAGTGTAGCATATCTTGTTACAGAATGCCACGGGTAAACAGACTGTAAAGAGATCTAAACTGTATAGCTGTTGGGTTTTCCAAGAAAAAACAGAAGTGTTTTTATTGCTTCATTGGTGGTTTTTAACATACCTCCTAGCAGTTAATATTTGAACAAATATACTGAAATGTATTGATTATTTTCCCCTGCACCTAGTAGTGGCAAAAGGCTCAGGAAAGCATTCCTACCCAGTAATGCCAGATCTTTGCTAACAAGTTCTGGCTTGCATGCCTCTATAGACTGGCAAAACAGAAGGGAGAGAAAGATGGTCTTTTCAGTAATCTGGATTCCATCTGGTTGCTGCATTAAAGATTCCATTGTTAGAACTGTCCACTGCTCACAGGGGTTCTGTGTTAATAAATGAGACAGTCTGCCATGCTTTGGGCCAAGGATGTTTTCTGCTAATGCAAAAATGAGTGTACATGTGACAGGACACTGCAGTCATCTGCCATACTGTTAAAAACATGCAGGATTTTGGCAGATGTCTTGTGGAAGGCGAAACATGATTCACACTCATTGTACCAGGCATCGTTGTAGAAAAATACTTCAAAATGTTTCAATTTAAATGTAGGATGTAGCAGCCATTGGCCTTTAAGACTGTATTATGTTAAACACCTCACCCTTACTGCTTTTGCTTATGAAAAAGAATATGCCTCTATTAATTCATATTTTTCCCAAGCTCTTGTTCTTGTGAAAAAAGAAAAGAGTAAATTGTCCTAAATACAAAAATTTTTCTCCAATGTAGCAGTTGCCCAACTAAAAGTTAACTGCCTTAAAGTTCAGTTAGCCTGCTTGTATAACCTAGATGGGTTGTATTGAAGTTATTGTCTCTGAACTTAGTGACAATAAAGTAGGCCACTGCTAAATATTTAATTTTTACTCCTAATATAGTGTCCTATGTGAGAAAATAATTCAAGGTCCTGGTATGCTCTGCTTGGTTTCTGTTTAAATTTTTAATGGAAAAAGAGAAGGATACAAAATGACAGATATGGAATATTAGAAGTTTCTTCCTGTGGTGGCTGGTAACTAAATGGTGAAACAAATATTTGCTGTGGTTGTAGAAATAAGGTGTCATTTCAAGTTACATGTATCTAAGTAATGTTAAAAAATGTGATCTTCTTCACAGATTAACTTCACTTTCCTATTTCCTTTACTAGCTTTTGCATTTGACAAGCACCTCTGCTACCCTATAGACAACCAAAAGCAGGGAGAATGGAACCAAGGAGACAGATGAGGAAAAGAAATGTGGAAATTTTAAACAGGAACAAGAAGGGGAATGGTAGGGAGCATCAAGAGAAGAACAAGTAGGGGAAAGGTGATTCGGAGGAGAAATACAGTATTAATATTGGAAGGAGAAGAAAACAGGAAAAAGGAAGTGAGAATAATAGTGGCTGTCTTTACAGACTCAAACGATGTGGTGAGTTGGTTGATGTTTTGTGGATTGGTTGCTTGGGGGTTCTGAGTGATACTAAATGCAACTATTTACTTAAAATATTAGCGGTAGAATATATTCTGCTTTTACAGTTTTGTGACAAGTTTGATTTGGGAGTTAAGAAGGATATATGTTCTTTGCCTTACTGCAAGACACAGTAAGTAAAATCCGTGTCCCTTTCATTAAGAAATGATGCAGAACTGCTGTTTTGAAAACTAGAGGCTCGTGTAATCAACCCTTTCAGTGGAAAAGCAAGGGACTCTCTTTGTGAATGGCTGCTTGGTTGGAAGTGGTTGTAGCCCTCTAGAGTTGTGGGGACAGACACGTATTGTGCAGCGTTCATGGGTGTCAGATACAGATTTTTTACACTGATCCTCAGTACATTCATAAACCGTAGCCACGCACAATCTCTAACCATGCATCTAAGCATTATTTATTGCCTTGACACCCCTTTCAGGTGTGGCATTCAAGCAGGCTGGTTCCCTGTACCTGTTGCATGGTGACTATTTATGCAGGACTTCTATGCAGGACGGCAGTTGTCCGTCGCTTCTCCTGTTACAGAATCATGGATTCATAGAATCCTGTTTATAGAATCACAGACTCATAGAATCTGCTGAGTTAGAAGGGACCCGTCAAGATCATCTAGTCCAACTCCTGGCCCTGCACAGGACACCCCAAGAATCCCACCATGTGCCTGAGAGTGTTGTCCAAAAGCTTCTTGAGCTCTGCCAGGGTTGGTGCGGTGACCAAGTTCCCTGGAGAGCCTGTTCCAGTGCCCAAGCACTCCCTGGATGAAGAACCTCTTCCTAAAATCTACCCTAACCATCCTCTGACACAGTTTGATTTCTCCAGTCCTGGCAGTGGTCACCAGAGACATGCGAAGACTTGATACCTCTGCCCCTCTGCTTCCCCTTGTGAAGATGTCGAATACTGCAATGAGGTCTGCCCTCAGTCTCCTCCAGCCTGAACAAACCGAGTGACCTCAACCCCTCCTCAGAGGGCCTCCCCTCCAAAAACCCTTACCAGATTTCTGTGTCCCTCCATACACATGATGGGGACTGTTTCTTCTTGCTGTAGTGCGCACTTAAGTGGATGCAGGGTGTGGACTACATCAAGTTGTCCCTGTACTGCAGACAGTGAAATTATCTCAGGTTAAATGATCCTTAGCCAAAAGAAAAGGGGGAAGAGAATTTTGTATGCATCATAATTTAGGGTGTTAGCACAGGAACATAGAGAGTGATCTGCTGGTGAAATTTCACGGTCTTAGACTGCCGAAATGTCGAAAGTTTTCAGAACCTGTTATTGAAGGAGGTAAAACAAGCTACGCTGCTCCTGCATTGTGAGAGGTTGGAATAAGGCTGCCAGAGTCACTTCTCTGGCACTTAACTACAGTTTTAGTTTCTGATAACTGGGAAAAAATTTCTTGTAGTTCTGTATGTGCTCTATATATGGAAGGTGATGCCTTAAGTGGCTCAGAAGGTGTACTCATGAGGCAAGAGTCAGTGGTGTTGGTGTTTTGTACCAGACTTGAGTTGCATAGTTTTTCTCAGCCACCTACACTGATGTAGCTAAGCCATGAGTTGAGTTTACTTTGCACTGTTACATATTTGGGTAATTACAGTGGTTACCAATTCATTATCCAAAACAGAAGTTACATTCAAGAGGATATTACTGTGCTAGCACTTGTAGATGGAGTATGTTGTGTGGCTGATCTCCCCTTTCAACTCTTCATAAGAAGTAACAGCAGCTCCTATTACAGATACCTGAGTCAGAGAAGCTTTTTATGGGAGTTTCTGAGAATTCTTTTCTGCTTTCCAGAATTTCAAGTTTCTGACATGCAGAACAGTATTGCTGAGAAGAGGCTGCTGTCTGTGTGGATGATCTATATTCAATTTAAATTAAATATCCTGTACTGAATTATTTGTCAGCTTTTCTGTGGCTGGTTTAAATAATGTCTATTTTTCAGCTTCTGTATTAGAAACAATAATAAGACACTATAATTGGATACAAATGCTGGGTTTCATGCTCATATTCTGAATAAAATTTCTGTATGCAGTCAGAATGATTGTCCCTGTCTCCCGCTCAAAGATGACCTGAGACCTATTCTGTGGTCCCTCTAGACCACAGAATAACTCTGAAATTCTTGATCTGTTTATCTTGCAGACCTCTGTAACTTGTTAAATTAGGCTGTGAAGTTTACAGCTCTATAAAAACGAGCTGACTTAATAAAGGACAGCAAGCCTTATAGTTCGAGCAGGTAACTCAACTGCTCTTGGTGTGTTAGACAACAACTTCTGGCATGAGCAAGCAGACTTTTCCCATCCTGTCTCCATTGACCCGAGGTTGTGGGGGGATACATGGGACCCCGGGGATGCTGAAGGCCCCGAAGGGCCTGCACTGAGCAGTCTGCTCACCTTCCTCCTCCTCCCTTTACTGCAGCGGACGCACAGATCTACGTACAGACGGTACTGCAGCCCCCTCCCACAAGCACTGCTCTTCGAGCTTCCTTCCAGCGGGGAAGCAAAAATTAAAAAAATGTGCCTCAAATGTTTGAGGCCTTTTTGCGATGTAGCCTGCTTTAAAATGGCTTGGCAGCAAAAGCGAGGCGAATTACGGGTCACGTCTTACACTTGGTACCCGAGGCGCTGCCTGAAGCTTTTTCCCGGTCGCTGGCAGCGTTGCCCGAGCTCACGGGCCCGGAACGCGGGCGGGCGGGCTCCGGCCGGGGCTGGCCCGGCAGGGCGGTGCCACCGCTCCTGTGAAAGGCGCGGCGGGCGCTGCGAGCCGTGCGCCGCTCCTCGGACATGCCCCCGCTCCTTCCCCCGCATCCACCTGATCTCGCATTCCGCCCTGCTGCCGACGCTGCCTCCTGCCGCGGGCGGGAGCTGGGCGCGCTTCCCCCGCCCGCGGCGAGCCGCAAAAGAACCGCGAAAGGGGCCGCGAGCCGCCGTCCCGGGCTGCTGCCGGGACAGGGATCGGGACTGGAATTCGTGTAAGAGGTACCACAATGTGGGGCTGAAATGGAGAGGGAAGGAAGGAAGGCTCCATCTCCCGAGCCATCTCCCGGGAGCGTAACTCCCGCCGGTTTTGTGTGCGCTGGCTCCCGGCTGCGCGCGGCCTCCGGGCTATCCCTCCGGGACCACGTGCGCCTGCGGGCTGAGCCTTCGGCCTTTGCGGGCGCCCCGGCTTTGCACTAAACCCTTGGGGCAGTGCTCCAGGTCATCTAACACAGTTAAAAAACTTTAAAGAAAAGGTAATTTTACAATCCTTATCCTGCTTATTTCATACGATTTTCTTTCTCTGAGGCGATATCTGAAAGCATACATCAGAGATGCGGATTGGTTACTTTTCTGCGTCGATGCCCCGTGCTGACCAAGCCTGGGCAGCGAGCAGATCCTGCACTGACTGTGCTCCCTCATGTAGAAACCTTTGCTTGCAACTGCTGTAAGCAAAAGATTGAAGACCTATCAGCCAGAAGGCACTGAAGCACCTTCTTACCTATTTAACCTTCCAGGGGCAGAATAGAACTGCCTGGGCTACATGGAAGAAGTTGGTGTAGTGGAAGGTTGATTAGTCTCTATTAAACCTGAGAAAGAGTGAGTTGCTCGTGCAGAGCCTATTTAGACTGAGCATTGGGTGCAATTACATTTTGACTGCTTGTTTCTTGTAAGGGAGGCTTATAAGGGTTTTTCTATGCCAAATGTCACATACAACGTGGAAGCAAATTACAGCTGGGAGTGGATGGCTATTCCACAGCTTCAGCTTGGGTGTCAGCCAAGGTACAGAGGAACACCTCCCTGCAACAGCCAGAGAACGAGAAGCTCTTGGACTGCAGATCAGGGAATATGCATGAACCACTGTGCTGTCTCCATTAATAGCTGTAATAAGTTACTGCAGGCACTCTTCCCCATTACAACAGAAAGAAGCAAAGATCTGAATGTGGAAGATGTTCAAAAGAAAAGAAAATTCAGACCTTGAGGTCATCTAACACAGCTTTTAGCTCAGAGCAGGGCTAACTCCAATTATAGACTGGGTTGTTTGGAGCTTCTGCCAAATCTGGTCTTTTGTGGTCTGTGTTTAGATAAGGAAGTAAATTTCAAATTTATTTAAATTAAAAGGTAATTCAAGGCTTCCAAACAACCATTGGGTAAAATTTTAGTAGAATTTCTGTATTGAGGATTCAAGTGTTACTAGTGTTTGCTTTCTGCTTTCAGAGAGAAGTTGGTTCCAGCAACATGGAGAATGATATCAGCTTGAAGTTCCGTCAGCAGCTTTTCCTTATTAGTGAAAATCTGGTGACTGAAGATGTAGCAGCTTTAAAATTTCTCTGTACTGACTTGCTCCACCTCAGTACACTAGAAGGTGTGAAGTCAGCAGTAGACATCTTCAAGCTCCTTATGGCTCAAGAATATCTGAATGTAGAAGACACTTTCATA